GGACCTCTCCTTGTCTCATTTATGAATTCATTCCTTGCCAAGAACAGCACGGTGATGTAATAACGAAATGTGCTTTGAAATCAACATGATATAAAGGACTTCTGCAAGGCTTCAGGCCGGCAAAGCACTTAAACACACGCGTGACTTTAAGCATGTGAGCGGTAGGCCCGTTGGTTTCAACAACACTACACGTGTGCTTAAGTGCTTTGCTGGATCAGGGCCCACATTTGACAGACAACTCAGGTTATGCCTTAAACAAAGAACCTCTTTGACACGAGATTTTTAACAGAAAAACTTGGAGTTTTGTGCAACCGTTGTAAGAGTCAACACTGAGCCCACAGGAGCTGATAGAGGGATTCCATCAGTTTTGGTGAGGTGGGGCTTTTCCTCTGTGATCTGGAGCTGGGTGCACGTTGGCTGTTCTGCCCTTCTGACTAGGTTAAAAAAAAAAAAAAATAGACACCATTAGTTTTTGACAAAAGATCACAAATAAAACTAGCTGACTTTCAGTGTTCACAGGCCACGTATGTGGTAGCAGCGCAGATTTTAGACATGTTATTCTTGTAGAAAAGTCTAAAGAAATGATTATCTTGTCTACAAATATAGACCTGTCAAGGTTGAACAGTTATGTTCAATGTCATCGTAAGCAAAACTGACATTTTATTTACTCATTTGTACCACCAGAATGTCAGCTCAGCAATGATTAAAGCTGTCAGTAGAATCAACAAATAGTGTAAAAACAGAGAGCTGCCAGTCCAAGTTTCTGTTTCACTGAACATGTTAGTTTGAGTGAAGCTTTGCCTGAATGTTTTGATGGTTTTGTAGCTTATTTTCACTAATTAATTTGCTTGTCTATTATCCTCTGGAGGAAAACAACATAACTGACAAATAAAATGGCTCTCAGTCCGTCAGTCAGTCAGTTCTCCAGAGGAAATCCTGTGCGACTGCTTGTGAATTTCCAGCTGATCTGTAATTTTGGCAAGAACCATTTTTTATGCTGTTCAGATTTCTGTCAAGGAGTGGAAAGTCACCTGTCTAAAGGAGAAATTAATCCAGGTTTAATCTCAGGAAGATGATATGTCTGAAAGAAATGACCAGCACTCTTTACCTGTAGAGAGAGATGTACACTGCAGAGTCTGTTGGAAGATTTGTCTTGTCAGTTTATTAAAAAGAAAGAGGAAGAATAAAGAGGGAAAACAGGAGAAAAAAACTACCCTGGCTTTTCAGATTTCTTCTAAAACCTCAGAGCTTAGCTCAAGTTTTTATTGGTGTTTTTACACACAGAATTTAGTGCTGGAAGCCCTTAAAGTCAGGTTCATATATATAGTTTGTTCTTGTTGCCAATGAGAGATTTTTTTTCCTTTGATTACACGGATACAAAATGTAAAACTGCTAAATCCAAGATGCATGAAAAGGCAGATATGGGACTATTGCTCAAAATCAGTTGCCAGTGTGGCATTCCAAGACAAAGAAACATCATTGCATTCTATGTACAGTAAGATAATAGCTGAGTGACTAGTTTTAATTCACTCCTGCAACAGACATGGACTTTCCTGAGGAAGGTCTCCATCGAACTAAAGCTCCGTGTGCTTTTTAATAGAATGAAAGGAAGGCACTTGCTGCACTATGTTTATTGAGAAGTTATTCAGGCAAGCTTCAAAGCAATCAGCAAAGCAATTCCCCGTGCATGCAGACAGGCCTGATCCTGCAGGAGAGTACCTGTGCCCAGGGGCACGGCTCCATCAGACTGGCCCTGGAAGGAGAACTGCAGGATTGCTCTGTGACACCCCAGTTTCAGCAATTGCACTTCATGTGCCGACTTGTTGGCAGGACCTGCCCTTTTATCACAACGCTTACATTAGATCCGGTCAAAAATAGATCATGTAAGTATGTCACTGAATGGCTGATGTTCACGGGCTGGTTCCCACCAGGGGAGCAGATAAGATTTTTGTGGCTTCAAGCAGTCATACCGTAAGTACCCTATGGCATTCAGAGTCAAAAGTTTATCTCATTCTTCTCAAAAAGTGCAGAAGCCAGGGAGAACTTAATTTCTTTTAAAAAGCCATCTTAATGCTTTTTACTGCATTAAATCACTTGCAGTCATTTCTTGCCATGTTTATAAAATCTCCTGGAAAAAAACAAAACCATCTACACATCCTAAAACACCAGAAACCTCTCCTTTTACTTACAGAATTTTACATAAAATTTCTGAATAAAATGAAGTCTAAAAATTATTCCAAGTTTTCCAATTATGGAACACTGTTTTAATTTTAATATCTGTCCACAATCCTGCCTCACTTTTATTCTTGGACCAAAAAAGTTGTGATAACATTTACAACATGTAAGCCATGTTTTTGTGTTTACAGCTGAGTGCAAGAAACACCAAATTGGGGTCACTCAAGCTGTTTCCAAAGAAAATTTGGGTTTCCAAAGAAAATTGTTTAAGCTTCTCTTTTCCATGCAAAGTTTAAACATTTTTCTCTGGGAAAAAAAAAATTTACAGCTAACAAAGATGACTTTTGCTGACCTGGTAAAATCTGATAACAGTCTGATAGAAGTAACCATTTGTACCAGCTATCTACATGCTAATAAAATGCCAGGGATGAGCAACTGGCAGTACATTTTATTCTCTCTTCTATTTGGTTACAGGAACATCTCTAATTTTAACAAAAGAATGTCTCCTGAAGTCACCTTTCAAAGTATTCTAATGCAATCTCCTGTTCTCTTCATTTTGTCTGTCTCTTGAATTTGTGTTCCTGCTGCACTTAGGGTGCAGCATGGTCTGTAGTGACATAGTTCAGCAGAAATCAAGTCTTCAACAGACTCCTTTGTGCCTCTATGCTTTCTCTCTTCGAGAGATCATGAGCATGGCCCTGCATTCCTCTCAGAAAACAGGGTCCTACTCATAGAAAACAGCCATTTCTGGGCACAGCTTTTCAAAATTTTTTCCTGCTATTTTTCTTAAAAAAAAAAAATCAACAAACCAAAAAAACCCCCAAAAAAACCCAAACAAACAAGAAAGAAACCTCAAGAAATCATTTAGTCTGACAAATGCTCTAACAGGGCACACTTGGCTTTACCCTCGGTGACCACCTACTCAGTAGGTATGTAAGTATGGGAGGACAACATCTGGCAAAGGCTTGTGAATTACAATTTTCTTTTGCAAGTGGAAAACCATATCCTGCACAAGGTCTCAGTGGGGTTTAATGCTGTCAGAGCATACAAGGTTTGTTTTGATCTGTTATGGAGTAACACACTTAGCTTTCAGTTCGCACTAATAACATCCCCGTGCCTGAGGTATACACCAATCCAGAGGCTACTAATTAAAGGTTAGAATTAACCAAACACAGTTCCTCTACAAAACATATGAAACTTATTAAAACTTAAAGGTGATGGCTGGTTCTCTGTGTAAGCTGAGCAAAGAATGAAAGACTATTGGGGAGGGTTATTTAAGCACATTTTATTTCAGCATATTAAAAATTTCCTCTGTCAGTTCAGCACATAACATTTTAATGTTTCATGTGAAAACACAGCAAGCTTTTAAGGAATCAATTATCAGTTCTGCATAACATAAAATAAATCCCATTTTCAGTATTAGCCATAAAGCTTTTTATGTTATTGTGATCTGAAGGAGGTTTTTTTTCAGAAGTTCTAAAAACAGAGCAGCACAACAGTGTGCTGAGACAGCTTATATTTATTTCAGTTAACAGCTGGGCATTTTGGGACTATCCTCATGAAAAGGGGTACTCAGACAAATGGGGTGTGCGGCAGCTATTTCAAGCTTGTGATACAATTTCAATTATTAAGGCACTCCACTAATTAGAAGTAACCTACAAGCAGAACACGCCCTTGAAACAGGCACAGTGAGGCACTGACTTGTTAACTTTTACTCTCTTTACTTCCATAAGCAAGGGCAGAGGGTGTGCTATGAGTGTTATGCAATTTATGTGCCCACTAGATCCTCCTATTTACATTTTAAAAATACCGTCTCATTAAGCCCTCCAACGTTATCTATGATCTTTGAAGTAAAAGCTTTTGTTGCAGATAGGCTAATCTCTGTTGGCAGAGCCTCCTTTCCTCAGCAGCGAGTGTCTTCAACATGTTGCAGCCTGTACCCTCAGCCTGAAAATGTCTTCACGTGATGCTTAATGAACTGACTACCCTTAATGCTGCCGTAACAAGATAGCTTGTAAATGTATTTATTTTTAATTAGGTCTATTCAGCTGTGTGAATTGATTTATATAACACTAATTAATTAATGAAATTGAAAACCCTGTAAGGATGGGGGTTCACAAACTTTTGTCAAATGGAAACAGCAACTTTGAAGCTGGTAGAAAAACTTAAAATCTGCTGAGTAATAATAGTTTCTGTAAGACTTTTTTTTCCATAACAGTGATTTTTCTCACCAGTACAAAGAAAATAAAAGGTAAGACTTAAAATCTGCACTTGTAAGCTGTTTAAAATTGGGTTAGGGTCCTATAGCTTCTGATTAAAAGATAAGAGCTGAAATCACTGAATGTAGATGTATTTTATTAAACTGTGCATGTGTTGGTTTACAGCCAACCCAAACCTTGCTCCCACAGGTTGTTGTTTTTCTTTATTTTTTTCTTTTTAAATCAAGCTGAAGTATTCCAAAGACAGCACCACCACATACTCACACACCTCTGAGAACATGGGGCTCTGCAGCAGGGCCAGGTCCTTTGGGTGCTATGGGAAAACTACTAATCCCCAGTAAGAAATGCTCAGAAGACAGCAGTGAGTGTTATACCTCTGTTACGAGAGCTGACCCCTGAATTACACAGCTATGGAGCCCTGAGACCAGTGCAGGAGGTTAAACAGAGCTTTATTCTACCAATTTGGCACAATTTAGGTGATATTGATATGTACAATAACGTAGGCTGTGAGTTATCCTTGCTGGACCCCTTACGAACATCTGTGTTCTTTAAAAGCTAATTATTTTGTTTGAAAACAAATTATGATTAATTACTGTGTGTTAATAGGAGAAGGAAAAGAGATCCACAGTCCTGTCCCCACTAGCAATTCAGCCTACAGGTATCTCATCACCTGAGGTCATCTTGCCCTTCAGATCAAGCCCCTGGTCTCAGCCTGGATTATGGAATCAGTCGGACAATGCTCCATGCTCACAAAGCCCCTCATCCAGAGGTAAATAGTGCCTGCATTGCCAGCTGATTCCTTGAAGACTCTGGACAGCTATCTGCCAGCTGGACCACAGGCAAATTGCTGTGCTATGAGGAGCAAGCTTAACCAATAGAAAGGAAGTGACAAGGTAAAAACTCATTTCGAAGTGTGTGTCTTTTAGGAATGAGTGCTGAGGCTTTCTGCTTCTGGCTTTTGCAAGGACACACAGAGTATATGCATCATACACCTACTGTAAATTAATGAATTAATACATCTACGCTATTATAGCTGTCACCTGTTACACATTAGTATTGCCTGCAAGTACAGAAATGGATGCAGAGCTTTGATGGAAGAATGAATGTTCAGTTTCCTGAGTCCATTAAACCTCTGAGATCCATGACTCCTTCAAGCAGACAACAGGCACTACTTTAGGTTTGGAATTATCAGGAGCGACCCACGGCTACTGCAGCCTTGAGTACCACAGGGAGGAAAGCCTGGCTTCTGGATGAGCTGCTGCTGACTGTCCACTTTTAGCATGCTCCAGACCCATCACAAAGCATTTGGCATGGCAGTCTCCTGGGCATTGTGTGATAATGGTAGCTTTTGATAGCTTTTCTGACCCACATGTACAAAATAACAAGAATACTGTATTGCAGCCTGTCAGATTTATTTTTGTGGCGTGGCATAAGGATGTATCCCATCACATCCTGTGAAGTTTGGTGGGAGTGTGCATCAAACATGTTTGAGACTTCGAGGTTCCCTTGATACCATTCATGTGTAGGAAGCTTTGGATAGTTAAGAGTCTGACACAAAGTATGCAGTAGCATTCAGCTCTGTATTCTGCCACTTTCCCACTTAATGATTTCTTCAACAAATTTATCTCATAGAGGATGAACATTGTTATATGTAATAAAACCTAAATGCCCAGTCAAGGTCTTTCTGGTAAAGAATCAGCCAACTTAATGTGCAGTGAGTTTCAGAGGGTTTTCTCCTTTTGAGATATTTCCCAGCTATATACTGGGAAACAAGCAGTGGTATGTGGTGATGTATATGTTTATTCTACACCAAAAAAACAAAACAAGAAAAAAAAAGCAAAAAAAACCCAACAAAAAACCCCCAACCCCCTAAACTAAAGCATCTGGCCTCTGAGCCTAAAAGAAAAACAATTAAAAATTATTGTGCAAAAGCATTCTTAGCCACCATAACACAAAGCAAACTACAAGAAAAGGTAATGCTGCTTTGCTTATTTTCAATCAACACTCTCTGCCAAATATTCTAAATGTCACAGGAATGTAGTTCATGTGTTTCACAGATTATGAGCTACTTTTCTCATTGCTTTGACCACCAGACACAGCAGCATCCAAACACAACACAGCAGTAATTCAAACAAGGCTGCAGTTCCTATTACATTATAGCTATAACTAGAGTGGGAGAAAAAATAGATCAGTGACTCCTGTACAGGTCCAAAACATGCCATAATTATTTCTACCATGCAGAAGAAAAGCTAGCAGAAATAAAGTGGTAAGATAAAGAGGTACACAATTAGCAGGGCTGAGCTGCAAATCCCTTTGATGGATATCTTCAGGATGAGCTCCACATGCAGAGCTGAGCACACAGTCTGCAGGTTGTCTATAGTTTTGATTATTTTGCAGACGAGTGTGCTAAAACCTTGCACAAATTGCATCTATAAAAAGGATGCTTCCGGCTGAAGCTGGCTTTACAGCACAAACTTAGTGATATATCCTCTAAAAAGAACTAAAAGGGAAGAAAGTAGGCCACAGACAGCTTTCCTGAAGACCTGAAGTACTCCACTTCTCCAGCTCTTCTAGCCACAACTTTGTAAAAGCTCACACATGAAGGCATGCATTATTATCACAGATAGTTCCAAAGATGTGAATTTCTTTCCTTTCTGCTTTCTTTGAAGAGAACTTTCAACCAGACCCTGAGCTGCAAATATGTAGAACTGTGTTTGTCAGAAAGTGCTTACCCAAATGTCTCTGGATTTACCATAAGCTCGCCTGCTTAACCTCTCAGAGGTCATGATGTTTTGTAACAACTAGATTTCACCACAGAGAGGACGTCAGGTGGAGTGGTGAGACTTTGGGATAAAACCTGGAGGAAGCCTGTGTAATGCCCAAGGGATTGGGAGAAAGAGTTGAAAGAAGAGCCTGAGCATTTCCAGGACGAATTCTAAATTTGGCAGCACAGTGACTCATATGATCTATATTTGAAACAATACTATAATAGCAGCTACCGGGAAGCACTGGATAATATCCAAATGCCTAAAAAAAAAGCTAAATTAAAGTCTTGGAATGGAAAGCTCTTGTGGTCATTTTTCATAGGAAATAGCTCCCATTTCAGTCTGTCTGGATTGCTGAGGTAACTGGTACTGTTACAGAATATGTACCTGCTGGCACATGGGGTTCAGGTGCTGCCCTTTGCTTACACACAATCCCACCATCCCCAGCTCATTGGCAGTTCCATGCCACAGCAATACCACTAAAGCCTCCATGAGCTCCTCTTCATTAATTTTTATTTTCTTTCATGTCTTCTTTTCCCTGCATTTAATAGACATTGGGAAAATCTTTTCCAGCTTATTGAGTTCTTGAGAGATACAACACTGACCTTATGCAGCAGAGCTGATGACACATTCCACCTCTAATTACAAGCCAGAGATGAAGGTGAGCAATTAATCTCCATTTGAATTCAATACCTACCCCTATGAGGTGCTCACAGTTTATATTTTGCCATGATCCTGGCATGCTCTGTCACAGAGGTGAACAAGGACCTATTCTCCATTCCCAGGGAGACTGTATAGAGGGAAGTTCTTCCCGAAGTGTCCAAGGACCCACTGTGGAGGCATTTCTCTCCTCACTGAGGCTGTCTGTGCCCCCTGTACCTGCCACATTTTTTGCTCAGTGGCCAAGGGCCAGTGTCAGGCTCAGATCAGTGGATGAGATGCAGTGGGAGAGGTGGATGAAAGATGGTACGACCCAGGCACTGCATCCTGTATGTTTTTTTTGTCTTTATCTACACATTAAAATTCATTTATAAACAGGCTTGGATGCAGGGACCAGACCAACAAGTTCCATTGCTTCCAGTCAAGGCCCTTCATTGTACAATTAGATATTAGAAGGGTCCAGATTCCATGAGGTTTTCATATCTCTGTGCAGCTTCAGTGGGTTGCTTTCTTCTAGAATAGCCTAAGCCTGGTGGTCAAAGCACTCAGATGGCTACAGAAGCTAAAGTTTCCAATCTCTTGAATCAAAGAGCAGCTGGAACACAAATCTCCCTCCTTCCTGGGCAGGTCACCAGGCCACTCGTTGCAACAAACAGCACCAGTGTTTCAGGAGAAGCCTATGATAATTATGGTGCTTACCTCTAAAAATTGCTTTTATCTGTTAAACCTCACTTTTGCAGATGTAGTGTTTCCCACATCCATGATCAGCAGGTTCCTTGCTGAAGATCTGGCCTGGGCAACCACAACCTTCCTCTGTCCCCTGCCCTGTGTGACTACTGTGGTGTTCACCCAGGGCTTCACCTACACCACAGCACTAACCTTTCAGCATGATGCAAAACTGGCAACATCTCCAGCCATGTGCTGAAATTCCCAAACTGGAAACATGCCAGAAAAATCTGGGGTCTTCAGTGTTCAGTGGAGCTGATGAGGAGGGAGAGGAACTTCTAAAGTTGCTGTCAGAGGTGCAATCTGCACTTTGGGTCCCAGAGTCATTCCTTCTAAGATGAGGTGCTTACCTAAAGTGCCTAAATTAAAAGGTCCCTTGACAGGCCCTGCAAGAAAGCAGGAGAAAGAGAACAGAGGGTTGTGGGGGTCGGTTTCCTTCTTCCAGCTGTTAAGGGAGCCACTCTGCTTCCAATTTTGGGGACTTTCCATTTAGGGGGGAGCATGGCTCTGGCACTGAAACCCACCCTGAGCCTGGCATCACTGATCCCAATCTCCTCCACCCCTTCAGGCCCACAGGCCCTTACCACAAAAATAATTTTTCTTTCTTCAAAAGAGGTCTTTCTTGTCATAACAGATGTCTCAATATAAGTAAAGTTGATCAAATTAAATTCCAGCAAATAAGAGTCTGCCCTTGATTGAGGAGCACAGGACTGTGTTCTTCCTGCCAACCCAAAGGTGCACAGACAGGCTTTCCTGCAACACCCTGCTGCTTCTGCAAAACCCCGCCTGAAGAGGACACAAACTTCCATCACCCACAGTCAGATAATTATTCAACGTTTTCACCAGGGCCCTACAGGGTGGCGGCCCACCACAATTTCATTTTTTACCCCTGCACATTTCCTTCCCAGGAAGCCTCCACCCACCATTAACTTCATTTTAGATAATGCCAAAAGAAACAAAGTTGTCCTTTTTTGTACATATATATATATAGAACATTCAAGCTTCCACCACAGAAACCACCTGATGGCTCAATTTTCACTCCTCTTAAAAAACCTTGCGGATAACTCATGGTAAATACAAAGGCAAAAAGTACTGATTGCTACATGCAGGGGGTGCAGAACCTGCAGCTTTGCCTTAAATCGACTGGTTTCTGTCACTACTATTTCCCAAAGAAAACATCACAGCGCAGAGTAAACAGTTTTAAACAAGGGAGTTTTTGAGGGTGATAGAAATGTCGAGTGGAGGATGAGCCAGCTCCTCGTGTCCCACCAGCTACTGGAAATAAGAGGAGCTTTCTCTGCTCCAGCTTTGTGTGGGGAACGGATGTAGGTGTCAAACTGGGAGGGGAGGGAGTGTAATAACACGGAATGTATTAGTAATATGTACTCAGAAATCATAGTAAGGCTGAATCACAAGTTACTCAGCACTTTTCCCATTTATAATCTTGAAAGCTTGTTATGACTAATGCAACAGGCACTAACCTGGCTCAGCACATAGCTCTTTAAACAAACACAGACACTGCCGGGCCAAACCACTGCGTGCCAGGACTTGCACCACCTAATTTGAGATGCCTGTTACAAGCACAGGAGTCTAGACTTTTTCCCTGGGTGCTGAGGTCCAGAAAATGGGGAGAGCTAGCAGTCTTTGGAGATGCTCCAGAAAAACCCACACTGAGGAGAAAGGTGGTTTAAGATGTGCATGCCGTCTCTCCCTCTCCTCTGAGCTCAGAGGCTAATCTCTCCCCTTCAAAAGCAGACCAAACCTGCCTTTAAATGCCCTTATTAACTAGCTGGCAGCGGCAGCTGTGTTTTTTTTATACAGCAATGCAGTAGCAGGAGTGCTCATCTAACATGTGGGAGAACTGAATTCAACTTCCCTGCTTTCCTGCAGTAGCCCAGGTCCCTGCCCTCCCTGCAGATAGAGGAGCCAACCATTAAATAAAATGTGTGAAAAGATGCTGGAGCTTCTATTCCTCCCTCCTGAGGAGCACAAAGATGTACCAGCTCATTCTTCTTGATCAAGTATTTTCTATTTCTTTTAAGGGTTTGCCCTGGCAAAGGCAGAGTACATGGAATGCTGTGAGGGGATTAGTCCCATCTTGCATGCATGGGATACCCACAGGACAGCTGGCACACAGCAGCACATCACTCCTCCATCCTGCTGCTGCTGCTGTTGGGCATTAAAAGAGCTGTTGCTGGGTTCGTGAGCAGCATGGCTTTTTAGGCACAGTATGGCAAGGAAAAACGCCTCCTGCAAAGGTCCCAGAAGAGCTTCAGCCCAAGGCAGATGCCAGCATGCCGAGGCCTCTCAGAGAGCACCTTCCCTGTGATCAGGGAGCTGAGCTACCCCTGCCCAGGGTCTGGAAATGGAAAACTGAAGAGCTACATCCCCTGAGTTTCATCCCCTGTGACAGCAGGCTGTGAAGGAGTGGAAGATTTTAACAGCCCTCAGAATCTGCACACTCACAGGTACAGTGTCTCCTCTACCTCTCCCTAATCCTTACAAGTAAAATGGGAGAGAACTTGTGAACATACAACTATGTGATGAATGATTTTTATGTCCATTACAGGTTTGAACTCTTCCTGTGAAAATGAACAGTCACCACTCTATAAATATACTGAGCAAATAAGCAGAAGTATTTTCCTTTTTGTCTTTGCAAATGGAGAAAACATAGTTCAGCAATTGGTGAAAAATTATTACTGAAAATTGGCAAAATTATAATTCTGTAATTTAATATCCCCAGATTTCTTAACAAAACTACAGTTTTCCATTATCTGATCTATAAAAAAAACAAACAAAAAAAAAAACCCAAAACTCCCAAAAACTCAGCATCCTCAATGGATTAGAAAGGATCTTTAGTGTCTTTAGTATTTATCTGTCTGACTGATGAAGGTTAAGTGTTTTAAAAGAAGTGTGGTATTCTGACATCAGTCTGACAACACTACACCTCTGAACTGTACTTAAAAATAAATCTTTTCTTTTTTCCATTATTCCATCATGATAATGTGACTAATGTGAACTACAAAAGCATTTTTCATGTTACAGGCTGCTTAGGAATGATGAAAATGAAGGGACTACATTTTAGCCTCTATCAATGGACCTGTCCTTTTTTTTTTACCTTACCTAAAATTCAACCAAAATAAAAGAAACGCTATTACCAGTGTACGTAGCAAGGACCAACTTGTTTTGCTCCTGTGAGCAGGTAATTCTTAAAGCAGACTAGCTGCTCTGCTGCCTTGGTCAACGTAAAATATACCCCAGCGTAAGAGTATATATAAAACTATGATCATTTTGGGTCCTCATGAATGTCCAACCTCATGGTGGGGTTCTGCATTCTCTGCTAAAGATCAGCTAAAAATTAGGTGCCTTCTAGGTTTACTTGAATCCAAATTTACCCTGAAATAGAAAAGAGAGAAATAAGTCAGAGGCTTTGAAGAAGGATATTATAGACTATAAACTGGGAAAGTAGTGTCAGTCTAATTTGTAAGTATGTGGGAAGATGTTCTGAAATTGCTAAGCATTTTCTTAAACTGAGTGTTTAATTATTTTGTGTTTATGGGAAAAAACCCAGCTTCTTACATTTTTCCATGTTACAATATAATAAAGTACTGTAATTTTCATCTGGTTTAAAGCAGATGATGATTTAAAGCAATTCATCCATATTTGCTCAAAAACTAATTCCCTTCTAGCTGAGAGTCTCAGAGAAAATACCAATGTTTAAAATTTACTTTGTATATATTTAAGGGCTAAAATGAATTTAAGTAGTCAAGAAAGGAAGTGGAGTCTCAGCTTGTTAGAACATATTAAGTGCAAACAAATAATACCTTAAAATATTCCAATTTTTTTCCAGTTGGAACTGACCCATGCTATTTTATGTGATGATTCAGTTATAGCTCAATAAAACATACTGGCAAATTGAGATTTCATTTTGAAATAGAATGGTCTCCACCACACCATACTTTTAATAGCTTGCTTTTAACTTTTTTCCTTCTCTTTCTTTTGCAATTCACTTGGAGTTTCTTTAAAAACCCATTTAAACTCTTCCCTGCATAAAAAGAAACAACCCTGAAGAACTGGCTGTATCTTTAACATCAGGAAATGCGTGTAGTTTGAACATAAGAAGTAATAAAATCAGTGTTGATAGTAAAATAAATATAGCACTTTTTCTTGGGTTAAATGTCAGATGCAAGGAAGTGCTGAGCATCCTTATTTCCTATAGAATCACTCATCCTTCCTCTACTGAGGCTGTTTCCAAAAAGGCTGTTATTAAGTCTGGGAAAGGATGTGGCAACAAAAGATGGTAAAACACTTGAACACATGTGCATTATAGATCTTTCTAGCATGAAAAACATTTAATTCACAAAGAGAGCAAATCCAATGTCCAATGAAGAAAACGAACCCACTGATTTCCATAATTCTAGGGGCGCTTAGGTAATGCAGTATGCAGTGTTTGATTTAAAACTTTAAAATACTAAAAGAAGTTTTCTATAGCAGAGTGTTCCTATCAAAGTGGAATGACTCATAAGA